ACATCTATATACCTAATAAATAAGTAACTTTGTGGACACGTGTCAGGGGCTCTGCCCCTTGGACCCCGCCACCCGGGGGCGCTTCCCCCGGACCCTTATGTTAGGGGCTTCGTCCTTAAATCAAAATAAACTCAAACAAGTGTGCATTCTGCACCTGCCTTACCTGTTCAATATTTATCATGATTACATTGGTCAATAATTTAATCACATTACACTTAAATGACATTAGTGATACAAATCATCAACATAAAGTCATCAGATATTGGTTATTTCTCAGACTTACAACATAACTCTGAATTGTTTTGTTCCAAACTTAGTTATATAGTTTATTCCCAGACTTAGAATACAATTCTAAACTCCTCTTCAGAGTTACGTTTCTGAGTTATAAAAAAATCAAAATTCTTGTGACTCAGAATTATGCTCGTAGATACTTTCTAGACTTAAAAGACAACTCTGAATTCCTCTTATTCAGAGTTAACTCCAGAGTTATTTTCCAGTCTAACAATAGAATTCCGATTATTAATTCTTTTTAAAATACATATCAGTTTCGTTTAATTTTTGTCATTAACCCGTGTAATACACGGGTCCAAACCTAGTATATATATATATATATATATATATATATATATATAATCAAACACAAGCATGATTTTCTATATATTTTCAACTTATTTTGTTTTTTTATATATTTCTTTAATTATATAATTTATATAATAAATAAAATATTAAGCCTACACATTTTTGTCTCATTCTTATTGGGTAAGATTCTTGTTCTTTACCATATTCATCTGGTGAGATAATAAGACTTGGTAAGCGGTTGGTAAACGACCCCTAAATTAACAATAAGAGACTAGTCATAAATTTAAACACACACATATGCAAGGGGTAAATGAAATGAGAATCAAATAAATGTTAAGGTAAAATCACATCAAACTTGGATTTGAATGTCATCGACGGATTGTTGTAGTCATTGATTTCTATATATGATGCCATGTTGTCCAGTAGTTATGATCTTTTTTCAAATCAGTGAAAATTCACATCAAACTTGGATTTGAATGTCTGGCTTGTAACCAAAATGTACAAGTCTTTGCAACAACAAACCTATGTATATTTAAGCGGGCTCCTGTGTATCTGCTCAACTTATTTTCACAAGTAGGATTTTTTGTTGAAGGTTGAAAGATACATCTGCTAAACTTTGAGGGGTGCTTCGTGACATTAGAAAATATAAGAAACATCAACTAAAAAACCAAAAAATTATCTCAAAGTTAACCAAAAAAAAAAGTCTCTTGAAATCAATCAAAAAACCAAAAAAATTCCTCGAAATCGATCAAAAAAACTTAAAAATCTCTCGAAATTGTTAAAAGGGTTAACGACTCTTCGAGATAAAAGAAAATTTTATTTAACGTATTATAAAATATAACATTTTTATATAATATTTATAGATTGAAAAGATATTGATATCAACGATTGGAGTAAATTCTAAGTTTCCATATTAAGAAAATGTGAATGGATCCTTTCTCCTCTGACCTTCCCGCTATTGGCATTGAACCCTACGTCCCCCCATGTGTCCCTTTTTAAATTACCGAATTGTCCCTTGAGTTTTTAACTTCACATCGAAATGTTGAATTATGTTTCTTAGGTTATATTTGGTAAATTAGGGGTCGTTATCTAAATACCTATTTAGTAAGTATTTATCAGTAAAATTTAATACTATCATTTATATATTGTGTAAGATTTTAGTTTATCAAAACGGTATCGTATGCAACAATTTACCCGATAAGCGTTAACTATGGTAAGATTCGTCATCTTCACTTACCGCCTAAGACTCTCGGTCCTTACATTCGCTCATATCATGTAAGATTCTTGGTTTGTGTCATATTCATCCGGTAAGGTAATGTGACTTGGCGAGTGTATATTCGAGTAAGTGTTTGGTAAACGGCTCCTTAGTTGATACTAAATTAGATGTATTGTAAAAACTTTTTATAACCTAGATGACAATATAAAATAAATAAAAGTACATATTAAGAAATTAATTAAAATATATATATATATATATATATATATATATAACATAATTGGAAAAAAGTGATAAACCCTTAAAACTTATTGAAATACTACTTGAAGCAGGTTTTCTAAAAATTAGCGTATGGTCAACTAACCGATATTTTCTAAAAGCTAACTAATACAAAACTACATATACACAAATGAAAGCTCGATTAAACTTTACGAGCAGAGACGAGTCATTCGAGCATACACTTTTTCAAGGCAAACATATTGATATGTTCACAAATTATAAAAATCACCGAGTTAATCGATCTAGAATTCGAGCTCATAAACGAGCATCAAACTTGAGCTCAAACATTAAAAAAAATTCAAGCTCGAGTATGATACTTTTTTTTTAACCAAGCTCGAATAACCTGCTACACAACTCGACTATGCTCGTTTACACCCCTATTTATACATATTGAGTCACCATAAATGCAAGTTAAAAAGAGGGACTGAATGCGTACAGATACATAGTGAAAGGACCATACTTGTAATTCAGTTGACATGAATCACGGATTCACACACGTGTAGCCTTTTCACGAGAGAGGGTTTTTCGTTCTCACTCTTACTCCTTCAAACCTCCACATTTTCACATTCATTCTCCGCTGTGTTTAATCAGATCCAACCCTTTTTTAATTGCATTAACAACTCTCTGAAAATCAAATCTTTCTCAAGATTCTCTTCTTTAAGCCTCATAAACCTCGTAAAATTAGAGGTTTTGTCTCTGCTGATTTTCTTACAAAATGATCCCATTGTTTCTCAAGAACACGTTTTCCAATCTGGGGTTTCCTTCCATGTATTAGTTTACAATATATAGATATATATATAGATACAGAAATACATACATACATATATATATATATATATATATATGTATTGATTACTGTTGGGTCAAAATGGCATTTGCTTACTGAATTGGGATCTTCAAACAGAAAGTAGCTTTACGTGTAGTGTGAAATCAACTCTTTCTCCGTCTGCAAAAAATCGAAAATCTTGGAATTTTGCCCTTTTGAAATATGGATTCTTGTTGTGCTACTTTGAACCCTAATGTGCATGTTCGAAAAGGTGTGGATTGTATCGAAAATGGGTTCTGGGGAAGGAAGATCGATCGTGTTGGATCACATAGAACTACTCAAAGCAGAAAGATGAAGAAAGTTGGAGTTGTTCATTCTGTTCTTAAATCGCCCATTGATGAGATGTTGGTAAGCATATATATGAATTTGATCGAATTTAAGCATTCGTGATTCAGTTTTTGTGTTAAAAAGTTGTATGTTTTTGCAGACATTTGAGACACCATTCTTTGATGAACGAACAGTAGACCCTAAAACAGTAGCTTCGATTATCTTGGGTGGAGGTGCAGGAACTCGACTGTTTCCTCTTACTAGAAAAAGAGCTAAACCAGCTGTAAGTGAAATCCCTTCTAAATTTAGATGATAATGAGTCGTTAAGGAGCAGGTTCATAATTATGTGTATCATGAATATTTAATCACCTCAGTCTAAAAAAAAAAGGGATATAAAATATTTAGAACCTCATATGACGGGTTTGATATCCAGGTTAATAAAAAATCAAGGGTATTTTCGATATTCTAAAATACGGAACCACCTATTTTGTAATATGTGATAAATATTCCATCACTATGAATACTTATAAAAATAATTGTTTTCGGGTATAAAATATTTAGAACCACTTATTTTGTGAATATCAATGACGATATTCATCATGAATTTTTTAATCACGTTATTAATCGTAAACGTTCACAAAAATGATGGTTCATGGGTTCCTAAAATATTTAAGAGCCATGAACCACCTAGTTTATGAATATCTATCACGACATTCATTATGAAAATTTTATCACGTTATTTCATCGTGAATACTCACAAAAGGGTGGTTCTTAGTTCCTAAAATATTTTGGAATCACTTATTTTATGAATATTTGTCACGACATTCATTATGAATATTTTATCAGGATATTCATCATAAATACTCAAAAAATGGATGATTTCTGGTTTCTAAAATATTTAAGGTTCCTAAATAGATCTCCCTCTCTTCATTAAAGCTAATAAATCCATCATAGATTATGGTTTTAACAAGTTTTCCAGTGATTGAAAATAGTGGAATAATATTATGCAGGTTCCGATCGGCGGAGGTTACAGACTTATTGATGTACCGATGAGTAATTGCATCAACAGCGGCGTAAGAAAGATCTTCATCTTGACGCAATTTAATTCCTTTTCGCTCAATCGTCACTTGGCTCGAACGTATAACTTTGGAAATGGCATGAGTTTTGGGAATGGATTTGTGGAGGTATAACATACTTTCTATGTCTTTATAAAGTGTCGAGTTACGTAGGACACTTTTCAAAAGTGTCATATAAAAACGATTTACTTTTTATATCTTATTTGGTTGCCCAACTTCGTAGATAGAACTTATTAGGTAGACTTATTTCATCCTAACAAATTTGACATGTCCTTTTAGTTCGTTTTACATTGTCATCTAGCTTGTCAGTTGGTTTTTATCAAACATCAATTTATTAGCCAAACATCTGGCTTTTCAGCTGTCAACTAGCTTATCTGCTAATTTGCCAAACATGACTTAAACCAATTTGTTTTCGTGATTCAACCGGTGATGGTCTTAGCTGAAATCGTGTGGGGTTCAGGTTCTAGCTGCCACTCAAACACCAGGAGTAGCAGGAAAGAAATGGTTTCAAGGAACCGCAGATGCCGTACGCCAATTTATATGGGTGTTCGAGGTGATCGCTTATTTTCTCGACCGTTTTCATGATACGTTTATGGTAATCCGCTACGTTTAATCGGGTTCCATATGGTTTTATCGTAGGATGCTAAGACCAAGAATGTTGAGAACATATTAATACTATCTGGCGACCATCTTTATCGAATGGACTATATGGACTTTGTTCAGGTGCTTCATGTCGACATAAATTTTACATATCACGGTTCTATACTCGAATGTTTTTTTTTCTTTTATACAAGCCAGGGGTCTTTCTAGGAAACAACCGCTCTGTCTCGTGGGACCTCCCGACCCCACCTTCGGATACTGATTTTGAAAATGGTATGTGCAGAAACATGTTGACACGAATGCCGATATAACGGTTTCTTGCATTCCGATGGATAATAGGTATGTGGTAAATAATTTATTCGGCGTTTTATTTTGATTCGTTTTCTGATTCTAAGGTACGAAGTTGGGTAGCGTTTTTTAGTTGTCGTTAGAGCTGATTTCTCTCGTTTTGCTTTGTAGCCGAGCATCTGACTACGGACTAATGAAAATTGACGAGACCGGACGGATAGTCCATTTTGCTGAGAAACCAAAGGGCGACTTGCTAAAATCGATGGTGTGTACTTTTACAATTGATCTCGAAAGTTATTAAGTATTCGCGAATAAAAGATCCCGATTCGAAACTTCAATAACAATAAGCTATCCGAGGTAGCTTAGCTTTTCAAAAAACTAGCTTATAAGCCGGAGGTTTTTCCAATAAGCAAGCATGGCCTTGGAAAGCACTCCTTTGGAGCAACAGATCGATAACGGTATCTTGTATTCGAAAACAATATAAACTTTGACTTGTCATGGTCAAATAAACTATATCTCGGTGTTGAAATTCGTATAACTTCTTTTGGATTTTTTTGGGTTACTGTTTTGTCTGATATATCTGCTGCTATGTGTCGTTTTTTTTCAGCAAGTCGACACCCGTGTTCTTGGGTTATCCGATGACGAGGCCTTGAGAAACCCGTACATTGCATCCATGGGCGTTTACGTATTCCGAACCGACGTCCTGCTAAAACTTTTGAGGTGGAAGTACCCTTCGTGCAACGACTTTGGCTCCGAAATCATTCCTTCTGCAGTTGCGGAACACAATGTCCAAGTGAGACTTACCTTCCATTTTAACCTTCGGTTATTACCTTATTTCAGTTTATCAGCCATCCGTCAGCTGACAACTAACTTTTCAGCTATCAGTTAATTTATCAGCAACCAGCTAGTTTTGCCATACATAACCAATATTACTAAAATTTGTACTTCAAATCTTGAACCCTCGAGTTATGTATCGTTGTTTTTATTTTTAGGCGTATCTATTCAACGATTATTGGGAGGATATCGGTACCATAAGGTCTTTCTTCGATGCCAACCTAGCCCTTACTGAACAGGTCAGTTGAACCAAATTTGACCGACCATCTTTTCACGCAGCACCGGTGGTGTTAAATGATTAGCTAACGATGTGTCGGTTTTCTCATGGGCAGCCTCCGAAGTTTGATTTCAACGATCCAAAGACTCCGTTCTTCACGTCACCAAGATTCTTGCCACCTACCAAAGTCGAAAGATGCAGGGTATGCTGCTGTTAAGCTTTATCTGTTTCGGGTTCGAATTATTCGTCCGTTTCTCATTTCAAATCGTGTTTGGTTTCCAGATCGTCGATGCAATCATCTCCCACGGTTGCTTTTTGCGAGATTGTAGCGTCCAACACTCGGTTGTCGGTATTCGATCCCGTCTCGACCAAGGCGTCCAGATTAAGGTGACATTAACATGACCGAAAGTACCAGAGGATCGAACCGTTTCGTTTCCACGTTGTTAAATGACCTATTTGCCCTTTTGGTTAGGATACCATGATGATGGGTGCAGACTACTACCAAACGGATTCGGAAGTCGCCGCTTTGATAGCAAATGGAAGAGTTCCGATCGGTGTTGGAGAAAACACCAAAATCATGTACGCATTCCTTTCCTCTACCATAATTAACGATAAACGTACTTATAATCATCTTTCTTGGTAAAGTATCTATTCTATATTATAAAGCATTCGGTTAAAAGTAATAAAAACTTTTAATTCCATGAAATGAAGAGTAAATAACGATTTCCGTCCTTATGGTTTGTTAAAAATTGTGATTTTCGTCTACGTGGTTTGCAATTTATTGCAATTTTCGTTCCTGGCCTAATTCGTACTTTCAAGTATAATGGACCAAAACAGTAAATAATTGTAAATCACAAGAATGGAAACAATGATAAATTGTAAGTTATAAGGGTGAAAGTAGCAATGATTATAAATCATAGGGACGAAAATTGCAATTTGTAAGCCACAATGACGAAAATCGCAGCTTTGACAAACCATAGGGATGAAAAACGTAATTTACTCTAAAATAAATAACTAATAAACCATAGGTTCAATTGAGAAGTGGCAAGTATTTGAGATTTGCAGTATTAACTGTGAAACATCGGATAGGCGGTAAAACAAGTGCATATGTGAACCCGTATGATTTACATTTGAACTATATGTTCACATGTGAACACGTGTAATTCACATATGAACAATTTAACTGATTCACATATGAACTCATATGTTTCACATATGAACTAATTAATTGATTTACATATGAACTATCGGCTCATATTTGCATTTATGGGTTCACATAGGGTGCATTTGGTACACTGGACATGACATAACAAATTAGAACAGAGATCCTTGTTTCATGTTTGACATGATTTTTATATGGAATAAACAGGAATATAGTGAAACAAAGTGGAACAAACCTGTACCACCCCTACCATGGAACAGGGTGGAACAAGGTGGAATGAACTTATGTTTTACAAATATAATATCAAAATAAAACTTAATTCTCTTCAAAAACATCAAATATGTATTTTTTTTTATTTAAATTTTACTTATTGTATTTTATGTTTTTTAACTTTCATTTTAATGTTCTGAAATTATTATTTTTATACGGTTTCTATATTTTTTTAATTTATGTAATTTATTATATATTAATAATAAAAATTATTGTAGAAAAAAATAAAAATTTGAATCTGTATAAACTTTTTTATTTTGGTGTCATTTTAATTGTTTTGAAAAAAAAAACTTTCTAATGGTATATGTTGTTATAAAAAATAATCATTTTATAATAATTTAATAAATTACGTAAATTAATCAAAATATATAAACAGCTCATTATGGGTAAATTGGTCATTTTACTTTTTTTTGTTCATTTCAATTCTGTCTTACCAATCTGAACAGTTATTCTGTCTAGTTGTTTTGTCTTGTGCTATTTTGATATGTCATATCCAATCTTGTCTGGACACCAAACGCACCCGTATGCACTTGTTTACCGCATATTTGTTAAAGTTACGAAACCACCTCTCTATTTTCCGCTTAACCAGTAAAAGCCGTAAATCTTGACCAGTCAAGGCCGTGATTTTTGACCAATTAAAGCCGCAATTCTTGACCAATCTTGACCATATGATGCGCCAGGATTCCTTAGTTCTCAAATACTTACCAATTCTCAAATGAACATCTCTCTACACGATAATCATTAACTACAATTACTGTAATAAAATACTTCATCATTATCTTTATCTAAAATAAATAAATCACTAAAACTAAAATAAAATACTTTTTTATTTGTAAAATGTAAATTTTTTTAAATTACAATAAAATTTTAAATTAAATAAATTATAAAAAAACGAGGGTTTTATTATATTTAATTTGACATCATATATCGATTTTAGTGGTTTTTTTAGCGAGTTTCAAATCAGCAATGCATTTTTAAAACGTAAATTTTGCTTTTCTTTTTTAATGAGAAATCGCATTAACTTCCATTACCAATTTACAATAAATATTGCATTTTGTTATATTGCACGGGTACACTACTAGTATAATATTTATATGTACTTGCTAACCCTTCTCACTTTTGATGAGGTTTGAACTCTTCACCTCCTTGAAAGTTGGGCTCTGCAGGTACCGCTTTGGTTTATAAATTATAGTTATCTTTTGTTGGTTTAGGAACTGCATAATTGATAAGAACGCAAAGATCGGAAAAAATGTAGTGATTGCGAACAAAGATGGCGTTGAAGAAGCAGACCGTTCGGATGACGGGTTCTACATCAGATCCGGGATAACCGTCATCCTCAAGAACGCAACCATTAAAGACGGGATCATCATATAAAAATGATAAAATGATTAGTACGTGTCTAACGGTTAGATCTCTCGATTACCATAAGTGCTTTGCAACATGAAACTAGTGGATTAATAAAAAAGCTTACGTTTAGCTTGTTTCGAGATGTAGAATACACGTAGTTTCTTAAAACATCTATAGTCGGGGTATCTTTGTAGGGTTCAGAGTCCACGTACGTAGGCGTAGGTTTTGTTATAGGATGGCATGCGGTATACTGATACTCATGCCGTTAATAAGTCTGTAGACACGTTCTTTCGCTAGTTAGAGCTTGTGTTCGGCCGTTTCTTTTATTTGTTGCGAGAAATAGAGAGCGAGACACATTCTTCATTCCTTTATAATGCTCCAATAGTTTTGTCCTCCGTTTTTCAAAATCATGTTTAACAACTGTAACTTAACTTATTTGTTGAGCTTATTTAAAAAGCCTGGGGATAAAAATACGAAATTCCGTAAGAATTTGTTCTCTCAAGTAATTTTTCGACCCAATTTGTTTAGTTGCACAAGTTTTGCTCGAGGATAATCTCAATTCACACTTATGATTTTGCTCGATGAATATACACTAATAATCCACGTGACACAAAAATCGTCATGTCAACTCTCTTAAACCAGGGGTGATGCCCTTAGGACCTCGCAAGGGTGCACAACTGTCTTGACCCCTTGTTATATGGCAACTTATAACGTTATGGGATTCTAACCAGCTTATACGGCTATGTACTCTGCACTTTTTAATTCGTATTATATCTTTATTCTCTTATGAATACAATTACACAAACGACGTAATGAACAATTGCTTGTGGGCATACATGGCAGATCTTTATAATATTTTTCTGATTTCATAAGTACATATGTGATTATATCTTCCAATTTTCAGATATCTTTATATACGGCTAAAATAAATTACGTTAAAATGAAACGTATTTTCGTTCAATCCATGTTTTGGATTACGTAGTTGGAAAATAAATCTATTTTAAGGAATGGGTTTTGAAAAACATGTCAACTAGGGATGTTCAAAAAACCGCTCAACCGTGAAAATCAATCCAATAATTGCGACATTTTTTCCATTTTTTGCAATTTGGTTTGAGAAATAGCTAAATCGTCTTTTAAACCTCGTATTTTGTGGTTTTACCGTTCGTATGACTAAATCAGATATTTTAGGTTGGGTTGTACTTTCACACAGTTTATTGTCAAGTTATACAGTATGCTAAGTTTGTATAAGGCCGTTTAGTCCGTGTAAATGATATTTCAAGCTACAAATTCAATAAATTAAGAAGTAGACGGTTTGTTAAGATGTATAAATTGATCAAGATATGTTTCGGTTTTAGATGTCAGAAATATCGCAAGTATTTCTAAGTATGTCGAACACTTAGAACGAGTAAGATGAGTCCCTTATGTCTAAATTGAGGTCAAGGTTGCTTAAATCACCCATGATCGGTATTTGTGCACAAGTATACGTGAAATGAGCGAGCTTATCATCAAGTCATATACATACGCATATAGATATAGATATTGTACGTATTGCCAACCCAAGCGTATCGACAAGCATTTACATTGACAAGCAAATTGTCGTGTTCTTACGAAATTTTGCGAAAAGGCAAATTCAATGTATGTGAATTGATGTCAAACTTATATTTAGCGATTATGATTGATTGGTACTAATTTTTCAACAATCTTGTACGAAAGAAATTATGCCCACCTATAGTTTCAAAGTCGTTTTTAATATTTTGATACGATTGTTAGTATTATCAAACTATCGATTAATCAACTTATTTGATTTGCATTTGTTCTTAATCAAACGGTAGGCAGTGGCGGGCCTACTAATTTAGGGCGGGGTGCACGGCCACCGCTCAATCGTTCCGTCATAATGGGACTTTTTTTTACAGACTGTAATAGTCCATTCGTTGAATTTTGAAAGGTGCTCTAATATTTTCTAAAACCAAACTTAAAACAAAAATTAATGTTTAGGGCGCTCCATTTTGTTCTTGAGGTCATGGGTTCGCTTCTTGTTCGCAACAAAATTTTAATTTTTCACGTTTTAAATTTCAGTTACTCAAAAAAGTACTGAACTCAAGACCTCAACCATAGAATAACAAAAATTTACCAATAAACTACTACTAATTTTGATTTATAATTATCCCCGTCTTTGTTTTATTTTCTGAATCTTTTTTTCTTTTAATTTATCTATTAATCTTAGAGTTGTATTTTGTCTTATTTTGACTACAACACATATTTATCTTAAATATATCTATATATTCTATAAAGCAGAATCATGATAGGCTGACGTGGCATCTCCTCGACACAAAGATCCTATTTTCTTCTTTTTTCCACATTTTGACTTTTTTTTTCCATGGTAAACTTGTAAATTAGTGTTCACATTTAACTCAAAACCCCTTCCCCTTCTCTTGGTACGTTTCAACTCTAATATTTAAATCCCTCAATCCCTGGTTTTTCTCTGAATCCCTTGACCTCTGGTTTTTTTTCATTTATGTGTTCTCCATCTCCATGTACGAGAAAATCAATCACATTTAATAGTTAATATTTGAAAATCTTGGTTTGATACTACTTGAAAATATGTCCAAGGATGGGAGGTGGTGGTTGACAAGTTCCTGGTGAAACTGTCAAATTGGAAGGTTAAAACCTTGTCTGTAGGTGGGCATCTTACCTTTTTCAAATCGGTGTTCAGGAGTTTCCCGATATATTATATGTGCTTGTTCAAGATGACATCTTCATTTGTCAAAATGTTGAAATCCATTCGAAATCGATTCTTTGTGGGAGGTGAGATGAATGATAATGAGATGGTTTGGGTTAAATGGTATAGAAGTATGGTTAGCGAAAAAGATGGGCTCTTGGTATAAGAAGTTTATTTGAATTTAATAGGTCCTTGCTTTTTAAGTTAGTGTGGAGATTTAGAGTTTCCAAGATGCACGGTGGGTTAAAGTGATTCAATCAATGCATGGTGCAAATGGCCGAATTGGATCGGTTTTGTCTTCTATGGGTTCGAACTCAACATGGTTGGTGATTTTGAAGGCTTTTGTCCATTTACGGGGTAAAAAAGTTGATATTCTGTTTTTTTTGTAAGAAAAAAGTAGGAGATGGGTCGGATACTTCCTTTTAGCATGATACTTGGTTGGGAAGTGGGTCTTTGAAAATGGAATACCTGATTTGGAGCTTGATAAAGAGGTTACGTTAAAGAGCGGGTAATGAACGAGGATTGGTTTGGTTATTTTAAGGGGGAGCAGAATTGGCGCAATTTCCTGTCTTGAGGGATATATTGCAGTCGATTGTGGTTTATAATAAAAAAAGGCTAGTGGTGTGGTCTCTGGATGGATCAGGTTCTTTTACTGTTGCTTCAACTAAGAATTACATTGATTCCAGATTGTTGGTTGTGGACTCGATTGGTACTAGATGGAACCGGTTAGTTCTTATTAAAGTCGATGTTTTTGTTTGACGTTTGTGTTTGAATAGGATAGTCACTTGGGATGATTTGGATAGGAGAGAGATTGATGTTGGTTCATTGCTTTGTCCTCTATGTGATATGGGTTTGGAGTCAGGGGATCATTTACTTCTTAGCAACAGAGGATTTGAAGACAGATTGGTAGATGGTAGCATTTGGATGTCCTGATGTTTAGTTCATATGCAGCTTGGATTACATGATTTTCTAATTTGCGGTTCAAGAGTGGGGAAAAACTGTGCTTTAAGACATATGATCATTCTGGAATGTGACCATTTTTTGGCGAGACTAAGCTAAAGAAGGCGTGGATATCTTTGACATGATTGTAACTCAGACGTATTTTTGGGTTTCTAAGAGGATTAGCAAGTTTAAGATTAATTTGGTGGCTTCATAACTCTCTCCTGGATATTTCCTATGTATAATTGTTTGTTCTAGTGTTTTGCTTGTTTTTTAATAAAATCTCGTTTCGGTTACTATTTCTCTGTATATAATGTCGTCAAACATGTTTACATAAAGTTGATAAAATTACATTTTGTTGTCGAGGTGGCCATTACGAAATCAACCAATTTTTTTCCCATAAAGGTGGAATTCAGCATAAAACCAAGTCGGACGCAAGTAGTAGTCTTGTAAGTTGCTTAAAAAGTTAAGGTCGATTCCAATTGTAAATATGTATTACCAAATCAACACAATTGATTTTTTTTCCTACTCAAACCATGTTGACTTTTCCCCGAGTTAAACCATGAATTTACAAACTTTGAAAGGCGTATCAATTAAAACCACTGGATAGGCTTCCTTTTGACCGTCTTTTTTAATCATTCTTCAACACAGTAACGTTGTTATTAATCGTCATAATTTTCTTGCAAATTTTGTGTCTGTGTATGTTGCTTCATACATGTCTTTAAAACATTTAACAAACATTATCTCATTCTCCTAACCATTTAAGGTTGTTTATCAAAATGTGTACGAATAAGCGATCACCAACAAAAGTCACCGTCCTCACTTATCTTATGGGTAACATTCTCAGCCATCAAAATTGATTCTTATAAGCATCTTTACTCGGTAAGCACTTACCGGGTAAGAGTTTCTTAAGGGCCGTTTGTCAAACGCTTACTGGCAAGAGTCACCACTTTAATTTACAGCCATCAAATTTGATTGATGGTAAGCGTTTATAACCCGGTAAGACTCAATCCTTCTTTTCCTTCTTATCGGGTAAAAGTCATCACACTCACTTACCAAGTGAGAGTCTCGATCCTTCTCTTCCCTCTTATCAGGTAAGATTTTTGCTCCTTGTTATGTTCACCCGGTAAGGTAATTGAACCAATAAGCATTTACCAAGGTAAATGTATCGGGTAAGATTTTTTGCCATTGTCATATTCACCAGGTAAGACAAATGACACTATATAAGCACTTACCCACTAAGCATCTGGTAAACCATCCTTAATTTCAAGTATTTTTATTGTGAGGATGGGGGATAATTAAACTTTTTTTCTTTCCTAAGAAACCATTTTAGGAAGATCAAATTTGAAGAAATTTACATATCTCCTGTTTTAGAGAATTTGTTAGAGATACTTTTAATACTAATCTAGCTTTAGTAAAACCAAAGCTAGATGGTTTGTCTGGTCAGCCCAACCAAACAAGTTTGATGGATTTGTTTTGAAATTTTGTCACAATGATTTTACCACTGACTGAACCGGACCGTGAACCCCCATAATAAACACAAATAACATCCGACTTCAATTAGGTATGGAAAAGACATTATATAACTCGAAAGAAGACTTTTATACCATCAATAGATTGTTCAGTGTCGAAATACGGTATAATAATTTCTCACGTACACGGTCATGTCTGGTACAAGTCGCGTAACACATGAGAAATCATATACCCTACTGCACTGAACTCTTTTCTTTTCTTTTTCGACTAAAAAAACTATAATTCTTCAATACTAAGCTACCACCAATCCCCCCACCACACCACCACCACCATCACCATCACCATCACCATCACCGCCACGGCCACCATCAGCACCACCACCTTCTTCCAACTTCCAATCAAGGTGATACAAAAACGCTTACCTGAAAGTATGAGGCTGCTATCTCTCCTCAGCGTTGAATCTATTCCAAGCCTCCTGTCGACATAATACAGAATAAATAAACTATGGAAAATGACATGCTCGAATAGTGCCTGCTACCGCTCTATCGTGCTGACATAGTGGAAATTCTTTTACGAATCTTAAAGTTCCATCTGGTTTAACTTGATGTGCACTCCTCTAAACTAACAAAAAGTGGTTGCAGCCTACTAGTAGTGTCGTTGCACGTGGCATTTCAGGTTGCAAGTTCGAACCCTTTTAGTTTATCTTCTAATTTTTTGGTAACAGCAGCAGAAAAGAAGAAAAATATCACTTACACTGTACTTTTATAATTGATTTTTGTTTTATTTGATGCTATGCTAATTATTTTTTGGCTCGCTTGGAATTTTTTCTGGATCCGCCTCTGTACACAACCAGCAAATTGTGAAGTGTTATGATGAGGGAAGAACAGAAGATGAATTGCATACCTTTAAAAGATCAAAGACCTTTTCGCATATATATTTGTGTTGAACGCTTGCCCCCCGTTGTTGCAGCTTGTCGGGATGAACACAAAGTGTAGCTTTCCTGTACGCTTTCTTTACAGCACTAGAGCTTACGATCTCTGTCAGTGAAACCGCTTGCCAACCGCTGTCAGGTCCGAGGATCTGCAAGTTCAACAATTTAGTTCAAAACCTCCGGCTAATATGTTCAACCCGGTTACACACATTCAGACGTTTATTAGCTTAGAAAAACAAATAATCTTGGTGATTATGCTTTCAGACTTCAGTACCACCTCTTATCAATAAGAAGCGAAATATGACTTCAGAGTTAACACCTCTTGAAAAATAAACAGCATTGCTGTGGGGAACTGTTTGTTAGATCTACAAATGAGATTATCATGCACAAGCATGAGTTTGTGGTTTAATTCAGTAGATTGTACATACATATTGTAGTGTTGAAAGCAATGCGCGCAAGTTCCCTTCTTTCCCGCTTGACCACCTTTTGATATTAGCATTAAGATTTTCTGCTAATCGCTGAAAAACAATTGGATACCAAAACGTAAGAGACAAAAATAATACATCAAAAACTGGTCCGTCATTTCTATTTGACTGACGATAATTACATTTCTTTCGGCTTGTTCCTTTTGAGCAAGTAGATCCCGCTTCTCTTTTTCTGCAAGCGCTGTAGCCTAATAGAAACCAGAAAATTAATATCTTTGGACATATTTATGATGAACCAGTGATTCAATTATGGACAAAAGCAACACATACCACCCTTTCCATGATCCTGTTGTGCTTTTCTAGTTTTGCTTTACTTCTCTGAGCGGATTCAGTACTTGTTTCATTGGAACTGTGTAAATCCTGCAAGGGCTTCTGTAGGTCAGTCTTCCGAATGCTACTGATATATATATATATATATATATATATATATATACAACCTTAAATGAATCAGAAAAACAAACACAATAGTTGTTTGTCCCACATCAGCTAAATTTGGACCCTCTCTCCCCCTCCCTTCTCTCCTCAAGAATTCTTTTGGAGAGTAATCTAATGGGGTTCCACATATTCTCACATAGTATTAGAGCCAAGGTCTACCACTATAAGGACCAACCCTCTAAGGCAATCTAACTTTATTTGGACCCTTTCTTCCAATATATGTTGGAACCCCCTTTTTCGCCTAAGGGCTCTTTTGAAGGGTAATCTGATGGGGTTCGTTCTCATAATAATATAGATACTAAAATAATAACCATAATAGCTAGAATGGATTGTACCCCTGCCTCAGAAACACTCTTCTGAGATATTGCCTTCTCTAAAGCTCGTTGGCGAGCTTCTGATGTGGCTCGCTCTACTGCAGCACGCTCTGCTCTAAGCTTGGACTGTGCGATTCTCTCGGAAGATGATTTGGTTACAACAGAAGCTTTTGCAGCCTTTTCTCGGGCATCAGCCATCATTCTTTGTCTAACTTCCTCGGTAGCTTTCTCAACAGCAGCACGTTCAGCTCTCTCACGGGTTTCAGCAAAGGCACGCTCACGAGCTTCACGGATTGCTCTGTCAACAGCCAACCTATTTTTCTCGCGCTCCCTTTCTCTGGCAGTCACTTCATCAATTTCGTGCCACTTTCTGCGGTGCTCTTTTCCTGCCACTTTCTTTGGCCCAGTTTCCCCAATTTTGTCTTCCTTTTCTTTGTATTGGCTTCTTGTTGTGGTCTCCTCGTTGACATCCATGGTTTTTTCTGTCTCATTTGAGACTCGAGGTTCTTCAGATGCTTTCATTTCATTTATACTTCCAACTTCAGGCATTTCCTTATGAGGCAGTCGGATATTACTTTCTTTTTCCTCCCTAGGAACAATTTTCTCCTCATCGATAGTATTCTTTTCTTTGTTAGATTCATCAGCCTCTTCCTCCACACCACGTACAGTACCTGAAGATGATTCAGATCGTACATCACTCTCTTCAGTTTCATTTTGACCAAGAGCAGTGTCAGCTGAATCAAGGTCTGCCAAATTGTCATATTTCACTTCACATTCATCTTCATTGTCGTCAGAGATAGTTTGATCACTGGAAGTCTTTTCAAAGAACTCTCCTTCCAATTCATCTGCTCCTTGTATTGCTTCTGTGTCTTCTATTTGGAACTCACAGGAAGCTCCTGTAACATGCACTGGGCTGCTTCCAACATCATCAACGTCTTGAGTTGTTTCCACGTTGTTGTCGTTCATATCAACTTTGCAAGACTCTAGTGTATCATCTACATTATCAGTTTCTACTGTAGGATTATCGTCACCTGATGAGTTCTCATCAAATTCATGATCACAGGCTTCATCCAAACTGTCCCTCTTTTTTTCACCTGTGTGATTATCTTCCTGTTTCATCTCACAATCGTCTTGCAGAGTCATTTCAATTTCTTCTATGCTAGTGACACAAGTTTGTGCACTATCCTTCATTTCCAGCTCACAAACATCATAAAACATCTCTCTGGTTTCTTCTTCCTTGTGGCTTTCAGTTTTGATGTCATCTTTGGATTCATTCTCACTTTCAAGACATTGAGAAGCCTCCTCAAGCCCCTTATCACTTGCTTCATTATTCTTCTTTCTATGCATCTCTTCATTTTCTACGTTCTCAACATGTTCTTGTTGAAGAACCTCTTGTTTCTCATTTTCCAATAACCCTAACACTTCATTCAATCTCTTCTCATCATCATTTTGATAAGACACTTGGGATTCTTTCTTCTCATCTTCCACCTTTTGAGCCACAGTTAAGTTGGCCAATCCCTTAGCTAATTCGTTGACATTACTTGGTCTTGCTTCATCCTTATTTTCCAGTGATTCTCTGGACTTGTCAGCTTCTACTATCTTAAGGAAACCTTGTGGTCTCTGTGCAGATGCTCCATCCTCCTGTCTAACCCCACATGTTTTGTGCATAAAGGAAGCTGATTTTAGTGTACCTTCCCCCCCTTCCAACCCTTGTGCTACGCTAAGAGCATCTTGTTTTCCAACTTCTTCTAGTTCATAAGCTCTTTCAACTGATTCTGGTTTTTTCACAACACCCTGGTGTTCCAAGACACCAGCGGTGGGTTTGGTTTTCTTGATTTCGCCTTCGTAATCATCTACAGATATGTTATTTGTTTGATCTGCATGCACAAAGCCCGAGGTGTCATTCCTGCTTTTTTCAGTATCGACTGCTTCGGAGGACACGGTCACATATCTGTCTTTTGCAGCTGAATCAAGAGGCTGGAATTCTGTTTCACCCATGAATTGTTTAGGGTTAGAAATAATCATATCATCTTTAAATTTGTTAGAAGACTGTACTGGTATTGAGCATGCTTTTGTTGATTCTGAAATTTTCCCATTCATTTCATCTATAACCTTCTTGGCAACAAAAAGTTTCTCCCCATCCATGAAATCTGGAAAAACTACGGTGCCACCATATTTACGATTCCTTCCCAAATCCGGAAAAGCCTGTGATGAAGCAGAAACTCTTTCAAATACCCCTGTCACTTCAACTTTGCATTTCTGTTCTTCATCTGCAGTTACATCCTCCATTCCACCATCAACTTTCAAGCTCTCTGTAGCACTTTTACTTGAAAAGCTCCGAAGACCTTTCTTCTTTCTGCCAACTGATTCTTTTGCAATCCGTATACTTTCTTGAGCCTTCTCTATGGCTTTTCTTAGAGCAGCTGCAGAAGCAGCAGCAGCTGAATTGATATCAAGTTCCTCATGAACATAAGTAGGTGAAAATCTGGCATCAGCACTTTCAGTAGCATTAGTTTTACATGACTCAGAATTTATAGCAGTTGGTATCTTAGAATAAGTTTTGTGATTATCTACTTTGGTCAACGAAGCTGAAGGAGGCAATACTGTGGAGGGTTGCGATCTGAGACCTATCTCAAATGTTTTCAAAAGTTTGTCTTCAGAAAAGGATTCACCAGGATGAGGTTTACTTTTTCTTCTGACAGCATTTTCTGAAGGTTGTTTCTTGGCAAAACCCTCTTTACTGGAATCTACACTAACATCAACTGCTGAGGATTTGTGCTTCTCGGCTTCCATCTTCGGTGGAAGAGATGTTTCATCAATAAAACAAGTAAATCCAGGTACAGCATGTAATTGTGTGACATGTCTTGTCCCATCTAACCCATCTTTACTCTTTGGGCTGATCTTGTGATATGACATGTTAAACTGCTTCAAGGCATTGGAAGATTGATGACACAAATCATCAGAATCTTGAGAAGTTGATCTTATTGATGAGGGACTAAAAAACATTAATGGAGGAAAAGGTTACAACCTGATATCAATATATGTCACTTTGAATTAAAGAATATTTGGCAGGTATAAAACTGATTACTAAAAAGGGAACTGTTATAAGAATAGGAGACGAGAATATATCATACAAGGAAAAATGCAAAAGATAATGAAACTTCCTAAATTAAGAAGCATGCTCTCTGGTGAGGATATAAGCCTGTGATTTATGGTAAAGGTACTTTCTTGCAATAACACCAAAACTGACATTATTAGGCTTTTAGCACACCAGAATATGCGACAGAGTCAGAAGTCGAGTAAACTACAAACAGAGATTTCCAATTTAGGATAAGCTTCCAATTTTAACATCCTACGATTCTGCTAGTATAGAAACTAAGAAGTTCCCAGCATCTTAGAGAAGTAGGTAAACATCGAAGCTAGAACAGTCAAACAGGAATGGAATTGCACAAAAGTTCAAGCATGGTTGATAAAGACTACATTAAGTCCCGATGTATCTAGAATGACCCATTCATAATGCAAGATTCTAGACTCTATGATAATGTAAAAATTCGAAATATGACACTTGTCATTTTGAGCATCTGAAAAGATTGTTCTTTCCCAAAAGGGTCAGCAGACTTGAATAACCCAAATATACACAACAAAATTACGGCTTCTGAACAAATCAATATCATGATAAAATTGTGAAGGTGGAATTTTTTACCATCGAACAAGCTCAAACTTCGAGTTCTACGCTCATTAAAGACTATGGCCTTCCACTACATAATCATTCTTAACATTATTCCTCTCAGCCTCTAAACAAATTCATCATAATAAACAACCTGTATAATACCCTAATTTGATATCATTGCGAATGCGCATGAGGACCAATGGTACACCAAAAGCACCAACCTATTTGAAATGATCTTGTAAGTAAATACTCAGAGAAAGGCTGGTGTGTGTGTTATCCTTTAAGAAAAACAAAAAGAAGAAAGAAGGATTGATCAAGAAGTAGGCCTTCATGAGCAAGTTATATGCAAGTAGCATGAATGCGTGATTAAAGCAAATATATAAAATCTCGGGATCTTCTGCCCAAAATTTTGAAACTCTTACCAATCTTCTGTTACATCCCCAGGCCCCAATATGTTTGAGATCAAATTCTTATTGTTGTACGGATTCTATAGCATAGCTAAATGAGATTTAACGAAAATCGTGTCTAGCCCAATAGAGTTCATCTCTGCAACAACAAAAAAATACAGAGAAAGAAGGGGAGATAAAAATCTGAATCTAAGAAACGACAGAAGCCCCAAGCATTTACTTACGGTTCGGTATATTCTAATCTTATAATTTTCGGCTAAGCTATCATAAGAGCCAAAACGTCCCATCGTCGCATAAACTACAATTTTTGACATATGGAGCACTATCGCCATTTCCAAAACTGCCGTTCACTTATAGAAAATAACAGCAACAATAAGATCAGGAAGCCTCTGTTTCAATCAAACAACAAGAACGACAACTTTATCAAAACGCGTTTCAAGAAAAACATAAAAACTCACCTAGCTTTGTCGCGAGCAAACAATTCTTCGTAAGAAACAGCGACATCTTCATCACGAAATCCACCGAAAATCTTAGAGTAATCCGGCTTCGAACTCCGAGTGTTTAAACTCGTGGCATCAGCCGTTACTCCTAAGTTTGAAAGATCAAGCACCGGAATTGAAGAAGCAACTTGAGAGGTAGCAAAAATTTCACGGTAGTCTTGAACGTCAATACCTGGAGTTCCAGCATAGTTGTGACGGTGGCCGGAAAAAACGCCATGGTAGGCGTTTTTCGGTGAGAAGGAAGTAGCATTGGATAGTTTTCTGGAGTGAAAAGGACGTGAGAGAGACTCCATTGAAGAGGATTGAAGGTCTAGGGTTTATGAATGTTTTAATGAATGTTTTTTGTATGATTGTTTTATTTTGGAATTTGTGAAAGGTGCAGAGGAAATGCTGCAGAGACGGGACAAATCGAATGGAGGAGGAAGACTACAGGGGTATAACTGGAATTTTACACATTCCATCCCAGTTGTCTTCAAATATGTACATTTAAATTTATTTCTTTTATTTTTTTTTTAATTTTATCATCATGACTTAAAAGAATCCAATAATTGATTGTTTATTTAATTAATTAATTAATTTAATATTTTATATTATTTGGAACGGGCTAAAAAAAATTAAAGCTTAAGAAAGATTTATATATAAATTATTGAAAAAATATCTATACTATATTATAAATCATTTGATAAAAACTCTTAAAAATCATTTTTTATGCATGAACTACTATTTATTTATGCATATTACTTAAAAAATTCAATATTACAAGTAAATTATGCGTAAGTATAACTTAATAAAATTTCATGTTTGAATTCGTGTAACTAACTGTAGATAAACATAATTAAATAAACGATAATTATCTCATTTTAAATATAAAAAATCTAAAATATAATTAAGATAGCTATTGAGTTCTAACAAAATACTTAATTATTATCTTTATAAAAAAATATTATTAAACAAAAAAAATGAATTAATACAAAAAAATGAGAAATTTTAAATAATTAGTTTGGTACTAATATCAATATATTTTTCTAATTTTTTATGATAAATTTTCATATTTATATTTTATTCAAAAATAAAAACATTATCGTTTTATCAAAACCACAAAAAAATTGTATTATAACATCAATTGAGACAAAAAAAGAAACATTAAAATCAAGATGTATCTTGTTGCATTGTGCGAGTACCCTTCTAGTATTTAAAAATGTATATGTGAATTCATATGAACAATTTGTAACGTTAGTTTTCATATGAATTTTTTTCTAACATTTATTTCTTACATATTCACGATATTTATACTTCTTATTTTCACTTTCCATTATGCTCATAATCAGTTTTTATGTAACTTGTTTAAATTTGATTATCTCAGTTTCAAATCAACATGATCAGAATCAATTTAAATGTATGTTCGAAACCTCATAATATGATATTATGTGTGAGAAAGAGAGTTAAAGTGAGAAATGTAAGAATTGATCTACATCTTTGGATGCATATTAGGATGAGATGCACCGAGATGAAATGCACCAAGTTAATCCCCATATCAAGCAGGATTCATAGATGAATTTGAGATTAAAGGTGATCAAATGTCCATATCCCTTCTTACTTCTTATAATTAACTCTTTTTTTCACACGATCTTTCGTCTGCATAATAATTACATTATTTTATCAATAACTAAGAAAATGTAAATATTCATACACAACAAAGAGCATTGTTGAAGTTACTATATTTAAAAACACTCCCTCACTACCTTTTATGCAAATTACTCCTTACATTAATTTTAATATGGGGAGCATGAAGTATGATTGGATTCTTTTTTTTTTTTTTCTCAATATATAATATTTATATATGATAAATAAAACAAATAAACTTATACACCATCTTCACTTTTGGTGAGGTTTGAATCCCTGACATCTTAGAAGACTAAAAACTCACACACCTTTAAGTCAAAAGCCTTTTGGTTTCTCAATGGATTCTTCAAAAGGGTGAAAATTAAGTTTTTGGAGATTTTTTTTTGTTGCAACAGGTTTTTCAAAACTTTCTTCAAAATAGATAAACTAAGAGACAGATTGTATTTTTAAGTTTGAAAACCTTCCTAAAAATGATTGTTTAATAAAGAGAAATAATTTTTTTATTATTCTAACCATTAAAAATAATTAAAATTAAATTTTAGGAGATAGAAATAATATCTTATTAACTGTATTTAATATTTTAAAGATATAATAAACATTGTAATATTTAAAATAGATAATATGTTATAGCAAATGTAATTTTTTTTAAAGATTTTGATTTTAATTCTTATTTTAAAGGACTTTTTAACATAATTATTAGAAATGCTTTTATCTTCATTTTAATTCTTCATTTTTAATTAACTTTTCAGAAGTAAATGTACAAAAATAATATTGTTTATAGTTGTTAAAATGACAGATATACAAATTAACTCTAATTTATTTAATAAAAAATGGGGTAAATAAATTATTACTAAATACTCCCTCCATCTTAAAATAAGGTGGCGTTTATTTTTTAATAGATGCTAAAGTCTGAAATTTTATTTCAATTCTGATTTATAAGATGTGGTGTTGAAGTTTGAAATTTGAATTAATAAGGCTGTTTGTTTTTTGTAAATTGATGCATGTCTGAATTTGTTTAAATTATCTAATTTACCCATTAGAAAATTATAATGTTGAATTTATAAATAAATTTATACAATTTCACATATGTATTCATCATCATTACAAAATTATATCTAACTATACAATTAGCATTCATTTAAACGAAAATATGTTTTTAATTGTATTTAACACATTTAAATCATATTAAAATACATCAATTGACAGAGGTGAGGATCGATTTGGTATAGATCTATTGAGAGAAATGATCGATTAAAGTTAATTGATTAAAAAAATGTTGTTGCTAAGAGTTTGGAAAACAATAAGAGACAAATAAGATGTTCGTTTACTTCTTACCAGATTAAAGAACAATAAAACGTAAATACCTCTAAAATTTTGAAAAAAACAAACAGTCTGAATGATCATACCTCTTAATAACTCAGACATAAGAGTTTGACAAGAGCTTACAAAAAACAAGACCTAAATGTTCATAATTGAAATGACATACAGTTTTAGACATTTATAATTATTACTCTTTTTAGTTAACCAAATGCTAAATCTACCATTATTTATTTTCTTTTTTTTCATAACTTTTAAATATTTGTGTAATAATTAAAGATATATCTATGAATTTAGTTATCTAATTTTGAAACCAAATATTTTTTTTTTTAAATAAACATAAATAAAAAATATGAACGCTTGTTTTAAAATGGAGGGGATATATAATTAAATTATTTTAATAAAATAAGGAAGGCGTGTGCAATGGCCTAATTGGGATTTTTATATTGTTTTTTAGACCGTGTGAATCTCCCAGGCGTGTCTGTGTGTTTTTTTAACCATTGGTGAAAATAATTAACAAATAAAAACCATATAAATACTGTACCTTTTACTTCTCGAAAATACCTTGATAATGAAAGATAATGGGTTGGTTTATTTTTTTATAAAACATGATTAGTTCATTAACTATCAGTTAGTTTATCAGCTATTAATTATTTTATCAATTAGTTTACTAAACAAAACCTTTAATCAACATAAATCTTGTAAAGTATATTTATTTTAACATTTATCCATATGTAAGATAAGTTGTATTTTTTAAACATATTAAACTTGTCATAAATTAAAATCTAAAAATATAACGATTATTTTTTAATACCTATTGCAAACTTTATTAGTTATACTGTATGTATATTTTATTTTGATTTATTATATGAAACATTTTTATCTGGCGAGCACTTATTGGATAATGGGTCGTTTACTACACGTTTACTCGGGTAACCGCTTATCGAGTAACATTACCTTATTGGATGAATATGGTAAGTACTAAGAATTTTACTCGGTAAGAGCAAAGACAATGACCGAGAGTCTTACCCGGTAAATGAGAAAAACGACTCTTACCACAATTAGTGCTTATCGGGTAACTTATTGCATTTGATATCATTTTGGTGGACTAAAATCTTACCCAGTAAGTAAATGGGTAGTATTGATTGTTGTCGATAAACACTTACTCGGATAAGCATTTGGTAAATAACCCCTAACATTCTTTATCCTTGTCATCATTTTTAATAGGTAATATTATCGATCATTGTCATATTAATTAATAATATCAAGTAAACATTTAGGTGGTGTTTGTTTTTTTAACAAAGCTCTTATTTTACCACTTATGTCTGATTCGGTCAGACATAAGGCAATTCAGACCGTTTGTTTTTTTTTCTTTCAGAGCCACTTATCACTTATTTTCCTCTTAAAAATTAAGTGATAGTCTAGCCACTTATTTTTCTATTAATCCTGAAAATTATCCAGAGAACCGATTTCTACTTCATCATTCGATCGACTTCACCCTCCTTATTGTACGTCTCAATCGATCGAGTTCACTCTCCATTGCCTCTGGTGGCTTCAAATCGACCCAAATCAGACGGGTTTTCTTCCCTATGGGTTTCGCCACTGTGTGTTTTCGTTCCTGTGCAAACCAGTAGTTGTGCACTTTTATCCTCGTGAATCAAGGTATTTTTGTCCATGTAGTTTTCGTCACTGTAGTTTTCATCATGATGGATATTTGCTTCGATTTTAGAGGTGGATTTGGACGTTGGATTTTAAAGGAGTGGTGGTGGACGGTGGTTGATGGTGGTGGGATGAGGGTGGAAATTGAGGATGGAAGGCTTGATCTAGAGGAGAAGGAAGAATTAAGGTAATCTTGGGAACACAAACATAAGTGAAATCAGAAATTATACATATTGATATGTTTTGTTGGTTACAAAAGCAAATTATTGATTCAGATTTCAGACTTCAGACGTTTGTCGGTATACAAAAACAAACAGTCTGACTGATTCAGATTTCAGACTTCAGCACCACCTTTTAAAAATCAGAAGTGAAATCAGACTTCAGAGTTCAGCACCTCTTAAAAAACAAACGACACCTTAATTTTGATTTTAATCTTAATTGTTGGATCACATGCCACGTGGCATTGCTATTCCACTTTGTTTAAAGTGTTGTTGCATAGAATGTTCTATGTGGCATTGCTACATGTGTTCACTTTTAAATGCTATAAAATAAAATAAAGGTGTTAATATATGATGTACACAAAATCGCAAATCAAAATTTAGATATGAATTGAGTCTTTCTCCAAATTGCAAATAAATTACAGAGAAAAAAAAATGCATTACAAAAAGGAATGGTTTTTGTTTCATTTATATTTAACGTATTTACATTCAGTTATATCATTATATTTATATTTAAAATTAAAAAATATATCATACAATACGAAGTTTTAGTACATATTTAAAAATTATTTTTTAATAAAAATAATATATATATAT